CTTAGTCCATTTTTCTCCATTTTATCGAGCTTGATTAGAATGTGGATCATAATTTTTAAATATGAGATGTGTTTTACTGCAATTTATTTATAATTTTCTTAATCTTCATATGTATATTCAATATCTTATAATGATTTATTTGTTAATAGCACTAATAATCCATCAGTACCTTCATATTTTCCCTTGCATAATGATACCATTGTTATTAAATTCAACTGTCGTATCACCAATAAATTTATATTGTAATGGGACGGTCGCACATAGCAGATGACGACACGAACAAAATATTTTATTTAATTAAGAATCGCGCCGCCGTTAAGAGTAGCTGGAAATGCCGTTTCCTGCTATATCTGGGAGGGCCGCTAAGAGCCGAGGGAAAGGAGGAAAGCACCTCCTTTGTGCAGCGCAACCCACGCCGGACGCACCCTTCGTGAGGTATGGGGAAATACGCCATCCGCACCCCCCAAATCGAGCAACGGAATTACCTGCGCCTAGTTCTTAGATTTGCGTGACGGAGGTAACTTCGGGGAAAGTTGCCGGGGGCGTAGCTTTGCTGCTGGCGCCGTAATAGGCGGAGTATCCGCAGGTGGCGCGACGACCAGTTGAAATATACTATACGTGACACACGCGAGCCTTCCTGAGGGACCGCCGAAAATGAATCGATCACTTGTGTCGGAGGTAGCGAGGAGGCCACTTGTTTTCGGACGCGGCAGGGGAAACACTTGTGTCGGAGGCAGCGAGGAGATCACTTGTTTGTGAGGCAGCCGCGAGAACACTTGTTTTTGAGGCAGTAGCGAGGCTACTTATTTTCGAGCCGGGTCGCCCCGAATGCCACGCCGCCTCGCCCACATTGCAGCCCGACTCGCGTGACGGAAGCCGAACGATGGGAAGGGACACCACGTGTGAGTGCCTGACCGCAAGGGCCATGTAAGTACGAGTCGAGGCGTGAAAGGCAATATCACGAAACGACCCGTCATCGCCCGCGCTGAGCAACGCTGAGGCGCCGTCCGGTCGACGCACACCGCTGGCCTAATCCGAGACTGAGGGCCGCCACCGCGGCAGCCGAGGGGTCGCCACAAAGGAGCCTGAGACAAGTACCGACCGTGGCTGCCCGCCGCCAGACCTGCCAGGCGCTGGGATGCCCGAACGCCGTACCTGTAAGCTGGGTCACGACCGCCCGGGAGGGCGAAAACCACGAATAAGATGAACTCAGGCCATGCCGGCCTTTTCTAAGTTAAGATTAGTTATAAGTTAATTGTAAGTTTTTTTTATGTCACTGGGCTTCACCCGCACCGAATTCAAAATTGATTAAAGTAGTATTAAGAAAATGCGTAAGTCTTTCTCTCCAGTAGTTAGGCCTCCCTCTATGGAAACTGCCGACCGGTATTAAAACAAATGCAGGATCATTAGCATTGTTAAGATATCCCGTTAATTTAGGTCCTAAATGTGTATTTTTTTTCTTCGTCTTCTATTACTTTCAAACTTTTTTAAATTTCTAGTTTTTTGGAGTATCGGGTGATTCATATAATAACTTTTTAAATGACGATTCTGATGGTTTTACTTGTATTGGAAATAAATTATCAAAATCATGTTTTTAGATTATACTATCTGTTAATCATGATCGTGTTCAAAAGAATGAATGACTTGTTTACCAACATTGCCTACTTTACCATCTAATTTATCTATGACTGGTGGACCTTTTTTTAAAATATTTTTCCGCGCGGACAATATTTTTCGCCGCGGACATGGCTCGCAACAGAATTGCAGGTTACAGGAGCGCCCTTTTCAAAAAGCGCCGCGCTCGCTCAGTCCACTACAAACATTTCCTTGATGCGTGGGCGGGTGGGATGAACGTAGGCACCAGCGTTCGTCACACTATTGTAATATTATATTAATTTTTTGTTCCTGACAATGCGTGAAGAGGGAAATAATTAATTTCCGAAATGTTGCGTTATTATGTATTACATTTAACTTGATATAAAGCAGTTATAATAATAATTGAAAAAAACAAACAATGGGTGCTCTGTGGCCGTGAACGTATGGATAAAACACGACATAAATATTGATTTTCTTTTAAAATCGTGATCATTCTTCGGTGTAGGTTTTCCTTTGCCTATAATTGTTTAAAAACATTTTTATTTTGTTTAGGTTCACTTTCAGTGAGATCATACATTCATCCATGGTGAGATGTTCTTTTTTCTCTAAAAAAAAGATGTTTTTTCACGATAACCAAGTTTTTCGATAGCGGACTGGGGCAAAAGGGGCCAGGAGAGTCAGAGTAAACTTTTTAAGAAGCCCTACTGTTCCTAAAAACCAAGTAAAATTTTAGCACTCCAAACAAAGAGGGCAAAAGTAGATTTTACAGGTTCTGTCAATCTTTGTAGTTTGCAATTCATTGTCTAAACATTTTCCTGTCATTCTCAAATGATTCATATGAAAACATATGTAGATTTTCCACATTTTTTAATAATATAAACAACCCCCTAAAGGACAATCTCTCAGTAAGTTGTCATTTTCTTGCATTGCCTCAGTGTTGTACAAACCGGCATGGCATCATAATATGTAATATGAGTCAATAAAATGTTGTGAATCTTCAAGACTTTGTGTAAAAGCTAAGCCATCATCTTCAAGACTATTTGTTGAAAAGCTAAGCCCAAATACTACGAAGGTCACCAAATGAACTATTTCTTTCTGCCACCAGGGCTCCCAATTGTATTGCAAGAAATTGCATCAAATGTTCATTAAAACATGCTAAACGAAAGATAATTATATACATTTTCATAAAAAATGTAAACCTTAAAATCATTGGAGATAACAAGTAATACTTTAAACACGTAACTTGAATATTTAAATTTAACCATCAAACTTGTTGAGCACACCAAATAGTTTTTTAAAATGTGCAATATTTATTTATAGTTTTAAATAACCCCATATTTATTTCAATTAACACATTTAAAAACTAACAGTTAAATTAGATTAAATACTTGTTAACTTAGAGTTAAAAATTCCTCCATTCCATAAAAAATCACGAATATTTTTGGGACTGTGTTAATAAACATTCCGAATTTTTTTCAAACGATTAAGAGTTTAATGTAGATAATATTTCTCACAATGATAATAATTAATACCAATTTCTAAAATAAATATACGGAAGAGGTCACTACTACTCTAATAGCACAGGGACTTGAAATTTGTTGGTACATCATGACTACGTGGAACCAAATGTTTCATATAATTCATTTTATTATAAAGCAGCACCTTAGCATCATAGGTAAGGTCATGAAAATATTTACTATATTTTTTTTGAAAATGGTGAGGTGGAAGAGGTTAAAGGGCCTGAGCTTCATCATCAATAAAGACATTTATTTAATTACTTCAAACCGTTTTCAAAAAGAAAAGGTAGCAACTTGACATGTGTTGATAAAATAGAACTTTTTTTAATTTCTATTTGTCAATGAAATTTGCAGTCAGAACCTACATAAATCAAAAGAAAGCAAATATCATTGTAAATAAGAAATGTGATATGACACATGAACAAATGCGTAATTGAGCCAAAAACGTAGTAATTCTCTATAGGTGTCACTTACGCGAATTTTATTTTATTTTTGTCAAGAAAAAAAGGCATAAAATTTAGAGATTGGTCCCTGTGGACATCAAACTGAGAATCATGAATCTTCTGACAGTCGCTTGATGCGCAACTACCAGTTTGTGAAAAATGTAGTGAGGCAAATGAGATGCAACCTAACCGTAACCAGTGATATGACAATTTTTGAGGGGACTTTAATGTGGATTTATAATGAATAATTCAAATTAAAATAATTTTTAAAAAATTAATTGCCACTAATATATATAAAAAAAGACTAATGTTGTGTAGACTAATGTGAGAAGTTTATTGCAAAATGTGTTTGTTAAATTGTTATTATTCAATTAAACTGTGTGTCTAAAAATTTATATAATACATAACATTTAAAAATTTCCAGCCTGAGGCAGTGCGGTAATACTCCACTGACTGTGCACGATATAAAATGGGAGCCATGCTCAAGAAATTCAACCTTTGGATTCAGAGTCTAAAGCTGAGTAATATCTATTTGAAAAATTAGGAGAATTGAATTGTACAGTGAATTTGGTTCTCACAGCAGCTTATCATAAAATAAAATTCCACATATCAAAAATAATGAGAAGAATATAATACATGAACATCTCTAACAGCTTCAGTTAACTTCCAAAAAGCATTTTCCTAATAGATTAATTATATCTGCATTGAACAATGGATACCAAGTCATGTTTGGGGAAGGAAAAGTTTCTTTTACTTTTAATTTATACTTACCTCAATGTCAGGAACACATTCAATTAAGCACCACATCAAAGTAAAGACAAAGCTTTCAACTTCCTTGTTTCACCAAACTGTCTAAACATCATCTCAAGGATTTATGGGCCATAAGGCTTTGGAGATGACTGTTTTGTTTTCCGCTTACTATAATGAATATTCCATTTTATTTCCAACAAAACTGTTAACATGAAAGTTATTAAAAGTGTACACCTTGTTTCCCCACCACTCGAATTACAATTGAAAAATCCTCCTTAACTAACCAGAAAATTTGATTTGTAAGCAATAAACTTTTTGTTTCACATCATCCTTAAAAAATTAAACAAGGACACAATCTTAATGACAAAAATTTGTGCAGAGAAAATAACAAAATAAATCCTCAAAAATGTATTTAATTACTTTAATGGTTTAAAAAATTTAGAATAAATTATTAAAAAATGTACAACTGCAAATGTACTCTATCAAGACTTATGTGGAAATTATTTTAAAGGAAGTGAAGTTAAATACTTGAATATCAAATTGAATTTGTTTAAAGGAACACAAACTTCCAGGCAGTTCACTAGTGGATAACGAATTACTGACAAAAACTAACAAAGTTGTTCTGGTATTTTAAGCATTTTTTACATTTCAGTCTTCTCACATAATACATATTAACATATTTTCATAAAAAAAATTACATATTTCCACTGACACTGGAATGATATTTAGGAATTATATAATCCCTCCATGCCTCAGGAAGTAATTGAAGAGGTTGTTGACATGGTGGTAACCATCTGCCATTACTAGCTAATACATAATGTGTTGTTTTGGGAGCACAATTATTCTGAAAAAAATGTCTGATAGGATTATTTCCTGAATTTGTACATTCCAATATCCTGGTATATACACTACTAGTACGTCTTGCAGGTAAAAAGTGTTCAACAATCATAGGAACTATCTTTGGCACAGACACTTTACCCAAAACTTTAGGATTATTTTTTGCATAGTTCATGAAATGTTCCAACCCCAAAGCTATTAAATAATCTTCAGATTTAAAGAAAGGAGAAGTTGTATGCCCATCACAACGGAACGGATTAGTGGGTAGTAGTGCAGGATATATAAACACATTACTATTGCATACAATTTCAAAAAAACCAGGGGGAAATTCCCCACGATAAAATTGTTTTCTTCTCTTCATCATGTTTTGCATTTCAATTTCTTGATCAATGAAGTCCATGTACCTTCTTTTTGCATCTTCAGATGATAGTAAATGCTCCCATTTTTCGACAAGTAGAAGAGCCTCATCCAAGTTTACAGGATAAAAAGTAGAACTTTTATTGTACTTTGCATGATGTTTTAATACTAACAAGTTCTGTTTGCAGTCCATGGAGTAAACATGATATAAAGGGTGCAAATACGTTAGAAGGAAATGCTGAGTTTGAAACTGAACATACATGCGCATTTGCTGTTCTAGAAGCAATCTTTTCTCATGTGGCATTACCCATGGTTCGACCTCTACTTCAGTGAAAGAACTATCAATGGCTGGAGAACGTGCTTCTATATCCCCTAATGTAGTTTCTTTTTCATTTGATATAGATTCAGGAGATGGGTACAAGTCAACAGGAGTGGACACTCGTTCATTAGACTGCAATGTCTCTACTGGTACACTTTCTTTTGTATGTTGTTCTAGGGCTCCAGCTATATGTTCAGCAATATCTTTTAACTCTTCTTCATTCCTTTGCTCAAATGCTCCTCTGAGTGCCCCTTCGTTATTTTTTTGGATATTATCAATCCCCTCATTTTCATCTGAAAGCATCCCAATATATTCAAACAATTCAGCCATTAGGGCATTTACTTCTTTACGAGACACTTTTACTCCAGGATCTTCTCTAAGCTCTTCCTTGTCATCTGTTTCTTCTTCATCAGCCATTATATTGTACTCTGGATCATTTTCATCATCATCTGGAGCATCTTGTGTATCTGGTTTCAAAGGTTCTGTGAAACCTTTTAAGAAATTCTTCCAATCTTCATCATCACATTCTGAATCATACATATCTGTAGTGATGTCAGGAGGTATAAAAGCACTTTCAATTGTTTCTAAAGGAGTGTCGCTTAGAGACAATTTAGACCGTGTTCTCTGACAAATATTTTCTTCAGAGATGATGGGTATCTTTTCAGGTAGAGAGTCAGTTGAATTTACCAGTCGATACTGAGGTTTTCTTCCATTAACTTCTGGCCAGGATGTTTGAGTAGCAGTGTTATTAATAACTGCTTTTTTGGAGAGTTTATGTTTACACACATGAGCATTTCTTGCTGCAAGGTCACCAGTCACAGGTGTTTCTTTAACATCATTGTCATTATCACAAATTACTAACCTACCCTCATCATCATCAATGTCATCATCATCTTCACCTCCAGGACATACATTAATAGGTTTCACATTTAATTGTATTTTATTTCCATCATTTTTATCAGAATCCTGTTCTTCTTCAATTTCATCCTCCTCCTCGTCATCATCTTCATCTCCTTGAGCATCTGCTTCATCTGACTCTGCTTGTTCATCTTCATCATCTTCATCTTGATCAACACAAAAACTACTATCTTGTTTATGTTTCTCATCCTCATCTTCATCTGGCTGATACTCTTCCCCACTTGAGTCTTCAGGTAATTCTTGTTCTATCAACACCTTACATTTGGAGTTACTTATATTTTTACTTGGAGTCATCGGCCATGCCATGGAAGGGAATGTATTCAGAAGCTCTCTGGTTTTTGCTCTAGTGAGTTTTGGAGCATAAGAAAACACCTTACTGATACAAAAATTCTTTTCAGGTTGCTTCATCGTATGTCGAACTAAATCTAAAACATGCTCGTTAGTAATAACATCTTTGAGGATGTTCTTCACGTTAGCTACAGTGAGGTTAGATTTCTTAGCTTTTGAATCCAATTGCCTCTCGATTTCTGCTTCCATCTGGTGAACAACGTCTGGCATGTCAACCTCTTCCGTCTGGTCTGTATCATCTTCGTCATCTCCATCCTCAACGTCTTCCTCAGATCTCTTCCGTTTTCTATTTCTTTGCTTAGGTGAACCGTCCTCAGTACCAGTATCAATACACAATTCCTCCGACGAGCTACAAGCAGATCCATCTGCACCATATGCCTGAAGATTCAGAGTAAGGGCGTTATCTGATATATTATTGTCACTATCTTCTTCCCACATACCTAGCCACACTGAATTGAAACACTACCAGTAAAATAACACATTCTTTATAACTCCCGCCAGTCAATGACAGTTCAGTGAATCTAAAACGTATGTCTTACGCTCTCCAAGCAAGAACGCACATGAACTTGCAAGGAACATTATAAAGGCAACAAATAATCAAATATTCCAAAATAACTAAGCATACAGCATCAACACACAGCATGTACACAAAACGCATTTCACGAAATTTCAAAGGATTGGAAATGGCAGCCTCTATTGCAGGTGATACCAACATTGTGATACTAAATCGCTCAAGTGACAATTGTAGTAAATAAATATACACTCACTAATGTGTCAGTTGTAGAATAATACTAAATTATTAGCTTCTCTTGTTTATGTAATAAATACTCCTTAGTTTTATTTACCCCTTTGATTTGTCGAACGATTTTAGAACAACTTCACTTGAGAAGGTCCATGTTCGAATTCTAGAATTTGTTCGAAAATTACATACTTCTACTAACAGATGGCGTTGTTGATTCCAAGCTGCTTTCTAATTAGTCTCATCTGCTAACACTCCGTGACCTCGGCTACCAGCAGCCAGCAACCTTGAAGTTGAAATATAGATGTATTGTATTTTTTAGTTCGGTTTTGAGATGTCTTGAAAATTATTCGATGAAATAAATACTTAATTTGTTACTAGAAAGGAATGAGTTTGGAAGAAGAAACAGTGTGGGTTGTTAACGAGTGTTAAATCACGAGAGACAGTCGTTGTGGATCATAGTACAATGTACACGATTTTCAAAACTGGCATAATCTTGTGTCTTGTAATAACTTGCGGGTGCAATGGAGATAAAAGTGAAACAGAAACAGTTCCAGAAGCTCGACAAGAACGAACTCTTAAGCCATCATTCTCAAGTGCCAATCTTTTAAGGTCTGGAAGTTCCCAATCTGTAGTGAATGAAGCTGTTCATCATGTAACACCCAGTTTTGAAGCTGGTAAATATTTTTTTCGTTTCGTTGTTGAAGTCTAACATTGCAGTGCTTATATGTACGATACCAAATACGAGTTTTACAGTTCACTAGTAACACAATTTGATTTTTGTAGTGGAGTATATTAATTCATAGTGCATAAAAAGGAGAATACTTAATTTGTTCACTTTTATGTCTTGAACTCTTAGTTTGATGGTAACTGTCACTAGGGTGTTATGTTAACAAGGGTGGCAACTAGGAAAAACAATTGTGAAAGGTGAAGTAAGTGATATTGTATATAATTGGAAGGAAAATAATGTTTAGGTTACTCTTTTTGAGTGGTTGAGTGATGGTTTATTGCACGAGGAATAACAGTATATTTTTTTATGTTTATGACTTTTAGTATTGCTATTACTGAGGCTGTTTTTAATAAGTACATTCTGAATAATATGAGAAACTAATATTTGAAAACTGCAAAAATTGTGTTTAGTTGATAGTATTTTAATGTAAAGAATGTTATTTAAATTAAACAATAATTCTCTTATGTTTTTAATGTAATTGTTTTCAGCAATAGGAGAAGGTTGCAATGATGATGTAGCTTGCTTGACCCTTGCATCTCATGACAGAATTGGTTTGGAAGCTATTCGTTCACTTCACAGACAACTAGATGATGATGCTAATGGGAATGTGGATCTCTCTGAATCAGATGAGGTATAATTTTTTGGAATCATTTTAGTTGGTGATTCTACATCATGTTATTTACTTCTTTTTATTTTGTGTAGTTTTTACGACAAGAATTGCAGTATGAAGATGGATATGAACGTAGACAGCGAGTCTTCCATCGAAATGATGATAACCATATTTCTGTGCGTGAATTATGGGAAGCATGGATACGCTCTGAGGTAAGAATATTACAAATTCGTCTATTAAATATATGAGAAAAATAGTCTGGAGAACTATTAATTTTATTTTAAACTGAATGATCAATTTATTGTTGTTGTTTTGTTTTTTCGTTGTTGTGTTAATTTGATGGTTGTTTGGTTGTGTGGTGTTGATTGATGGTAGTTGTCATGGAATACTGTAGTGCATATACACCTGTCAGTTGGCATAAAAGAACTGTTGATGTTATTTTGTTCGCAATTCCCCTTCTTTGTCTTGTGATGATGTGAACATCCTGCTTGATTATATCATCAGTGAAGAAGTGCTTGAACCATGAAACTCCCAGATACTTTCCCAAGACTTGGTCAGTGTGCCAGTGAGATCATGTTTCTTTACAGGTTCACAACTGGACTGTCGAGCAGACATCGGATTGGCTGTGTGCAAGTGTGGAATTACCACAGTATGCAGAAAATTTCAAACTTCATAAAGTTACAGGAGCCATGCTTCCAAGGTCAGTGTTGTAATATTAATTCAAGTCTTAAAAATAGATGTATCATACTTAAATTATTCAATGTGTTATATTTATTGATTTTAGGCTTGCAGTAAACAATATGCATTACTTAAGTAATGTCCTTGGTATTAAAGATCCCATTCATAAGCAGAAAATTGCTTTGAAAGCCATGGATGTTGTTTTATTTGGATCACCAAAAGGTACAGTGGAAATCATTTTCATAATTATACTTCCTTGTCTGTTATTTGATTTATTGCATATAGTTACATATAATTGTAGATGTGACTTAAAATGATTGCATTCATGTGACATTTATGTTGTATCCGATTCATTGTGAGTGGCGTGCTGACAAAGGGAATACCGATTCACAATTTTTAATAGCAATTTTAACTTTCTTCAACAAATTTTCAGGGGTTTAGGTTGTTTTTTTAATATTTTTAGAATAAATTAAATTATATTAAAGCATGAGTTTTCATAATATCATTATACATAATCACTGTTCTTCATAAGCGATATTATAGGTAGCTGCAATGTGAAATATATTCTTTTCTTTGTTTGTGTTCTATGAAATTTGCATGATGCATTTGATTTTTAACATTTTACATGAAAAATAGTATAAAATATTTGCATTTAACATTTTTTCCCTTTAAAAAATAGTTAACAAACTAATACTGTCCTGCTTCAATTTCATCTTGTTTGCCAAGTTGTAATAACTTATAAACATCAGAATTTGAGATAATTGTGGTTTCTTTCCATCTCACTGCCTTAGGAAGCTTTCTTGTCATGTATTGTAGTCATGGAAATCTTTGTTTATCTGTGCTATTAAGGGGATGTCTTTCAGCCGTCATTGCTTTTACTTTCATTTTTGCATTGTGCTTCACTTGTGTATTTGATTTGTTTCGTTATTTAAACATTCTACTTGTGGGTTGTGGTTCTATCATTCTCCACTGCAAGCATGTGAAAGATACCTCTGGTTTCTACTCGTAAACTGTTGCTTTTCTAAATTCAGTAGTTAGCATGCTTCTTTATTTAGTTGGGTTTCACAGGTGGCTATCGGATCTTTCGTAAAAAAACAATCAGTATTTCACAGGCGGCACCTCTCCAGTACCGTTGAGCAGTCATATGTTTTCCAAATTTCCACTGATGCTGTGGAAGTGCTTTAGAAAAAATGCGTTGGCGTATTGCAACTACGTACTACGCCCGTAGTAGGTAACGTAGTAGGCAACGTAGTAGGCTTATACCTCAGGCTCGTCAGTCCGTCACGCTGGTACTTCGGCCCTTGTCGCGTCATTTAGGAGACCGGGGTTTCGTTTTGCGTGGTGCCGCGCATGGAGAGCAGTCGCAGAAATGGTGAGGCTGGGGAGAGCGCATTGGAATGTAATTTTTCACTCCCGTAAGGACAAAAATCCGTCTTCCTCCTCCTGATGTACACCTTGGCAAAGGGACCAAAATGTTCTTGTGGGGAACAAGCATGATGCATAAGTTTTACGTTTCTACGCGTAGATAGGCTTAGTTTTCACTCTTCATGTTATTATCTAGAATTGAGAGGTTTTTGAACCGCCCCCTTTGAATCGTGTCTCTTGCCAGAAGTAGTATCCAAGGTTTGTCTGCATATAAGGTGAGAGTTTGCCTCATTTTTTTCAAAATTTAAACGTGAATATTAATCTTCTTTTTTTAAAAACATTACATAGTTTCTTAAAAACCGTTGAAGTTCAGTAAAATTTTGAAAAAAAAAATAATAATGAAACAAATTCGACGAATAATTTTTAAATGTCGAATGCTTTAAGATTCGTGAACGTTGAGAAGTCGAACGATCCCAAGTTGCATGAAATCATATACTACATATAATCGCAATTATAGTTCGTAGCTTGTGAAACACGTGGTGCCGGCGTACGTGACGGGGAGGAGGGTTTTTGTCCGCTGCCGCGCCTGCCTTCCTTTCGCGGCGCTGCGCGTCGGGGTGGGAATGGGCTGGTGAGGGGAAGGTGCCGGGTGGCTCTGGCCGCACCGCCCTCTTACCATTGTGCAACGGAATGTCGCCGCCCCCGGCCCCGCTCGCTGCGCCCTTCCCAGCCGCGAGCTGCACCGCGACCAAAGCCTAAGCTCGCCACGGCACGTCAGCAGCACCGCTTTTTTCAGCAACTCTTTTGCATGGCTTCTTTTTGACACATGCATTGCTGACGCTCGCCGCGTATTGCCTCGCTATCGCTTGGCACCCCTCCCACGCCTCTGCTGACAGTTTTTTTTCTTATTAATCTGGCAAGGGCCGCCGGGCGGAGCAGGAAATCTATTATTCAAACAAAAATTGATTTTATGGCAAGACGGGGAAATCAGTAGTTTTAAATTCGACCCAATACCATTTGTTTTTTTTTCTGTAAGGGCGTTCTAAAGGAGTAGTTTAAAAGGGCAGTGAAGGAATTTTAGGTTTTAGCTTGTGTTCGGAAGAAAGAGCCTGAAATGTTTGAGAAACATTCCTTTATTTGCAATGTTTACCGTGCAGTTAACGCAAAATATTTTCTTCCTCTAGGAGAAATCGTTGAAGACGTGTCTCCAGTCAGCACGCCACTTGGGAGCCCTTTATTTCGGATTGCAATGAGTGTACTGTAAATGTGTTGTAGCGCTTCTGTAGCTTCAGTGATAATTTATTCATGCGCAGAGAAAGTAATGACTGCTGACTAATTGTGTAGTATGAACGTAGATACTGGCCACTCTGTGAAAGATCTCATATTGGTAACGGCGTTGTTGCTGGCTCTGACCGGGTGCTATTACGCCTATCGCAAGACGAAGAGTTCGCAGAATGACGTTCGTCGCATGATTAAGCACATGGAGAGCCTGCAGAAGGCTGAGCTTGCTCTGGACCAGTTGCAGGTGAATGCAGAAAATTGTTTTATCATCTCCCTAGGCGCGATTAGATTGGTGAAATGTCGCCCTGTTCACGTTAAAGCTTTGACACTTGCAAGTGACCTACACGGAATTGGAATAATATATTTTTCTTTATCTGTACCCTTTCCGTCCAACCTCTCTAGCAGATGGTTTCGTATTGAAACGTTGTGTGATCCTTGATATGACGAGACGTGCCACGCTCGCGGCACTGCAAACAGTGTTTATTTGAACGGTAGTAATTACGAGTGTGAGGTTGGGTTATCCATGATAGATACTTTATCGAACTCGCAGAATCAGTCCATCTATCTCAGTTGTGACGGAAGGAAGACATGCGCTGCTTGGTGCCACCTGTCGATTGGCACATGACTGCGTGATTATACGGTAGGCGCAGTGACAGTTTTCGTCGATACTAAACTCACGCACATTTCTCGTAGGGGAGGCATTTTGCTCGTAATTACGCACTCCTTGATCATTAATTAATAGGCAATATAATGTAATAATGATAATGGCAATAATGATTAATTTCGTGAGTAATATTTTTCTTACTCAATCCAAATATACTGTGCATTAAAGCTTCCGATTTGCTGGAATAAAGTTGGTTGCCCTCATTCTTCGCGTAGTTTTTAGAATTTTGTATTTATTGTTTTAATGTTTAATTTATTTTTTTAAAAAATAGAGATTATCAAAACTAACCCCGATCAAGAAGTTTTTGACGTATTATTTTTAACTTTTGACTGAAGAAGCGATGCAATACGATGCCAATTCAGCTCTGATTCAACAATGGCTGCTCCAAAACATTTGAAGAGTATCGTACACAAGGAATATAGTTTCTCTTTGTCTTGTTGCTTGTTTTAATTTTTTGAGAATCTCCAACCGTTTGCTGTGTGCGCGCATGTTGGCCTATGTGGCTTATTTGCTTGCGTATGTATTCCCGCCTGTTATGGGAGAAATTACTGCGTTGCTTTTCCCAAGGTGTCATACGTTGGCGAACATTGATTATACGTGGTAACACACTATTTGGGCCATTGGGCAAGATGTATGAGGTAGTTACACAATGATTCTAAATGTTACCGTAATAATGAAATAATAATTTCAAATATCTTTTGACAATTTGCCCAAATCGGGCAAAAAACCCAACCAAATACCCAAATTGATATTAATATGTGGAATGTCTTGTGAATTTTATTTAGTTATCAAACTCTATAAAATCAAGTGTTTTAGTTATATATTTCTGCGTGCTTCCATACAGGCGGTAAATTGTCAATTTGTATTTTGCATTGTTGCGACTAGATGACTTACACTACTGTTTAGATGATATTTCGTCTAAATTATTCACATCCCTAAGAACTCCGAAAGGAATATAGTGACGAAATTGTGTGTCCGTCAAATGTGGGATTGTCGATACGGACTGGAAAATATTCAGGGTGCACGAGATTACACGTCTTCAAAACCCTTCCAAGAATTTCGAACACGTTATCGCTTACGTAAACGGAATAGGAATAATCCCATACCGCAGGAGCTGTCTTTCACGGAGAGAGCTGCACTCTGCGTGGCTAGGAGCCCGACCTGCGCGGCAACCCGTATGTCCTTTTCCGTTGGCGCTCGACGGCGAGCCTTTCTCGGGCGGGCGTCGCAGGAGCAGGGGCTGCGGACGCGCCGAGCGGCTCGGGATCCGCAAGATCAGGCCTCTACTTGGTTATTAACGTCATGCAGCCGATATAGAGCAAATAACTGACACGCAATACGTAACAGACTTTTAAAATGGATCCTAAGACCAGACTAGTTCACACCCGGTTACGTGGTAAGATGGGAGACAGGCCAAAAGTGAGAATGGAAAAGGGCAAAATGGCGGGTAAGTGTGAGGGAAAGATTAGGATAGGAAATTCAAGCAAGTTTGGAAGGAATTAGATTAGAACAAAACGGACAAAATCTGAATGGGGAAGGGGAAGTGTTTGGAATAATATAGGTTATTCGTTGAAGCGACAAGGCTGAGAGGACAAGGTAGTATTGTTTTAAGGAAGTCATTGATTCAAAGGGTTAGCGATTAGTGATTGCAGAAAGATTACCTAAAGATAAGAAACATAAAAAAAATTGTATAAAATTATTAAGTTAGATATTCCTAATTATTTATAGGAAAGTGACAAATGAAGGATAGACAGAGACAGGTTAGGAAATGAAACTAGAGCGAGTAGATATTGGCTAAATAGTGGTGGGGAAATTGTCTGTTCGATGCAAGGAGAAGGAATGTGAAAAGAGGAATTTTCAGGATAAGATGATTTGATTACGAGGCCGAAGGTGAAATGATTTGTATGGTAGA